AAGAGAACATTTGCAGGGACTTTATAAACATTAACTATTGGCAGAATTAGCACATTAAAACTTGCATGCTGCTGCACATACTAGAGAGAAAGAGCACACCTTGGGGATCAATAAAGAGTGACTTATCGAAATTCCATGCGAACCGAATGACTCAACCTTAAGGCCTAGTACACCGAAGAAAAGCTAATAAATCGGAATATCAAGTTCCCTTGGCCTATCAGGGCATGTATTATATGATTGCAGGGAGTATGTAGGTCGAACGAGAATTGACCCACATATCGCACTATAAAGACGATCCGCAACAACTGGGAGGATGGATGAGAAAGGGGGCAGATTTTAGCCTGCAAAGGCACAAGAATCGTGCGCGAACACCGGTTTCGTACAACAGAGCAACGATTACGGGTGGGATGTTGACAGCTTGGAAAGTGACAAGAAGAGTTGCAAGGCAAGCAGCATGGCCGCTTCAGACCGCTCTATATGTATTGAAGTAATTGTCTGCGGGTTTTGTTCTTTGCAAATGTGCAACGTGCCCAGACCTCCGGAGACGTATTACGGAAAAAAGAGTTATTAGTCACGACTTTATACCACTGTGCCTCGAAGACTACCACGGCAAAAAAGACACAAAGCATACCCGTGAAATCAAGTAAATAGGTTTAGAGATAGTACCAAGAGCTTTGATCAGCATAAAGTCCACGAGAAGGACGTGTCTAACAAGTTTGACACTGAGAAATGTAAGTGAAGAAGTTAATAATTTCGTCAAAAACTGCTGTGCGAACTCGGAGAAAAGTCCTTGGAGAAAGAACCAACGGATGTTCGCTGCGCGGTAATTAATCAGATCCGACCTCTTGTCTTTTGATCGAGAGGTACGCCTCTTGAGCAAAAGCCAAAAGTGGAATGAAGTCAAAGCAATTTGCTGTATTACGCAAACATAGACTGGAACAGAATGTCCAAGATGAAGATGCACTCAGAGTAAGGTAGTTATGGGCCTAAAATGGAACAAATGTCCAGTAAATTCTATGAGTGGCGAAAAACAGACCTGCCGAAGTATGTCGATTAAGTATGATTTCAAAATGAATAACCGTAGACGTTAACTTTTTATTTCAAATAAATTGGGCTGAAACTGGAATACTACTTACCTGACAATAGGTGCAAGCTGAAGAGCATGCAGAACTAGTCGGATGATCCAGGCCTTAGTGGATCGCGGGGGATCAACGGAAGCTCGTTTATCAAGCAGATACCATGCGAGGCTGAAACTGGTCATAACCAGGGCGGGAAGGATCATCAGAGAGACTGTGAGGAAAGACCAGACGAAGTCGCCCTGTAAAATGTGAAAAAATGTCATTTGATTGGTTAACAGGCAAACTCAAGCCGGAACCGGCATCTGCAGCCCCCTTTGAAGAAGTGGAACAACTTTTGCTCCGGGGTCTAAAAATGCGGTCAGAGGGACGAGCTTGGGGCTCCTAACACCCGAATTAGAAACAAAAAAGTTCTAAACAGTTGTTAACAATAACAGCAACCAGGAAAATCATAATAGGCACTGGCGTCCATGCCACATTTGGGTCAGAAAGTCCCTACAATGAATCGCGGATGAAATCCGACACAATGACTGGTAGATTTCTGTGTGCTGGAGCGCGGTACATGCTGGATATCACCAAGAGACAGCCTAAACGACCCGCTCAACGCAAAATAGGCCGGGAAGATGGCTTCACCGGTGAGCGTAGCAGTTGACTACCCGGCGCGTCTAAGAGTGACAAATAATGGAATACCCGCATTTGTTTGGGCAGTCTTAGGGTCTGCCATAACGATCTTATCTTCGTCGATCGTTAGGCTAACGGACTCTTCGTTTAGACTAATTCTTCGGAGGCAGAAAGATGTGGCTGACTGAAGTTACATATTTATGATCGTGAGGGTTTATTGCAGTCAGGAACGGCAAACCAACTCACACTGGTCGCTAGGGGCACTTTTCCAGAGTGAGTATTGATGAAACATTGTATGTGGAAAATAGACTGACAACAGACCCAAATGGACCGGTTCGTACTCCCTCGCGGGTTCCCTCGGAAAATGGATGATGTGGATTTATATTCGAGATCGAGCTCAGACAATCATGCCGGTGGGTGTTTCTCTGGATACTCGACGTATTCAGGCTCCTCTTTGGACTCTGTGGTTGTCTAGATTGCTGCTGGCTGTGTAAAAGGTTCTTGCCGGCTGAGTTTTGAGTGTGTGTGTTGGCGCTGTGTACTACCTTTTAACATCCTCAGCCGACGATGATTAGAGTAGTACTTGTGCTAGCATCGTCTTCCGTCCCGGTGAAGGTGTTCATGAGAGATGGTTTATTGTACGTTACTCGGCCGCAACAAACCCAAGTCTGCGCGACTTGATTACAAACGTTTCAGGTATGCCATTGCCTCGCACTCGTCAAATCGTATTCCCAGGTCGGCGCCCTTAGCTTGTCTCCGAGGCAACAGTTGTTTGACCTCCTCGATCATGTCACTAGATGAAAAAACTGTAGTTGGTGCGAACCGTCCGTTCACATTTGTGGCATTTTGTGTTGTCTTCTGTCAAACACACAGCATTTTGGTCCAGGATTGCCTTCGACGTTCCGTCCCTCAGCAAGACCAGTCAGAGCGAACAAATCTGTCCGCCAAGGCACGTTGGATTGATTTTCAAGTGGTAATCTTCCACCTATCACTAGCCTTCCGTCTCGCCAACCGGATAGCTCCGGTGCCCCGGCTCTCGGGTCGTCCAGGAAAATAGATGAGTCGTGCTTCGACGGCAGCAGCTTCAAGTGAGCATATTTGGAGAAAAGCGTGATTTTCTATGGATCGTGTCCCCTGATGAGTGAACGTCTACCTATATTTCCAGCACACCACACTCAGTTCCTAGAGGTGCTTGTCTTCTCGTTATTGACCCTCACCAAGCCCAACCGGACGGAGCGCAAAAGAGTTACCACGTCCGCCAAAAACACGGTTGTGTCGTGGCCCGCCAGGCACCGATTTCGTGAGGCGGTGTGATATAGAAGAGTCCCTTTGGTCCGTCGACTCGGACGGGATGTCTCCATGAATCATAAATACCTTTTTTGATACACAACCAAAGAAATTTCTCCATCAAAGCCAACGGTTCAATTTTTTAGTTTCAGCAGTTGATCTCCATACATGAAGGCCAATGAGCTGGCACTTCTTGAAAGTGCAACTTCTGCAGAAAATTCTCGCACAGCTCATGGTTGTGGCAAAATTAGCAATTGCCAAAAAACTGCCTACTGAAAGAATAACAGTACGCTAGGCAAAAAGAATTCGAAGTGGTTGACGGATGACTCGCCTGCTTAAAGTAGGTGATTGTCAAGTAGGCGTCAGATATAACATCGGCCAGGTAGCTCAGCACAGACACAGCAAAGAGAATTAGGTGATACCAGCGGAAACCGTGAACTCGCAGAAACTCCTGCAATACGGGTTCTGGCTCTGACGAGAAGTCTGCACCGCCTGATGGAGGGACTACCGCCGAGGTTTCGTCTACGGCTGTCCAGGCAGCGGTGGGGGAATCACTGGATCGCGAGATGGCCTCTCGCACAGCTCCGGTAGAGGCATCAGGAGAAGTTCCATCAAAATGGTCGGGCGGGGAGAGGGTCAGTGTGTCACCGCTCCACAGCCGGGGGGCCTGGATAGGTACCAACTCTGAGCTAAATTAATGTCAAGGTAGATGGAATACCCGGATTAATAAAATAAAATGTCCCAATCGACTGAGGAATATCTAAACTTCGTAAGCATATCTGACCTTATCAATTCGTTCTGGGAACCATTAGTGACTGCCTTCTCGGGAGGGGGAGAGCGCGGAGAACATAATGTGCAAAAAAGTGGATTTTGGAGTGTCACTGGCGCAGTATACATTCATGTCGCTGAAATTCCCTTGGTTGTGGTTGACAGGTCAGCCAGACACTACTGGTCCCACGCACTTACCGTTGCTACGACTCTTTATTCTCCCAAGAGACTCACCCTTGTCGGAGACCTCCGTAAATCCGAAACGCAGACAGAGCAATTTTGACCGTACTTCAGTAAACAACTCTTAAACTCCATTAGCCTACCCGAAAACAATGAAGTCTGACAGGAGCGTCAAGAACATTGTGAGACCCAATGGCGAGAGTCTCCTACTGCTGATGCGCATCCGCCCCTACTTACCGCCCGATCGCACCTCAACAAGTTAAGATGCTGCTTCCGAATGGGAAAACTCCACGACCACAAATATGTAACTTCAGCCGGCCACATCTGCCTACCTCCGAAAAATTAGTCCAATCAAAAAGTCTCTTCGCTTAGAGGTGAAATCGTTATGGCAGACCTTAACGATCTGTTGTGGGTGGGTCAGTCCAGACGAAAGCTGCCGAGGCCTCAGCAAGACAGTCGTTTACTTGAATTGAATTCTCCACAGCGTAAACTCATCCACCGAGTGTCAGTAACCTGAGCGCGCCCAACCTAACAATCACCCATGAAATGATGACAAAAGAACGTTTCCGGCGTGTTCAGAATGATCTGTCACCGTAACCAACATTAACCTAGAGATTGCAAATCTTGAAGGGTCAAAACGCATTGCCCTGAAATGGAAGAGTCCCAGGCTGTCGCTGTTCATGCAGGAGACAGGCTGATAACACAACCTGAAACGTCGGATAGGCATAGCTGTCCTCTTTGTGGTTTTGAGGACGAACAGCCTGACAGTCATAGGGACAACTGGTGGCAGCTACTGGGCGAAGGAGATCCCGTCCTTGCAGAACAGGACCAAGGGAAGACGGGTGCAAGGAATGGTCTCTGGTGAATTCAGGGGGGAGGATGTCAGGTCAAGAGTCCTCATCCAACAAGTCAAACCCGAAGTCTGGCGGCAGGAATTAATGGAAGCTAAAGCAGCTAAGCATTTGATATATCCTAAGGCTATCTGACAAAGAATGACTTGACACAACGAGAACAAGCACGCACTGAGAGTATCCACGTCAGTGGGCGAAAGAATGCAAATGCCTTCAGCCCACTGCATCAGACAACCGAAAGGCTAACACTTAGCAGGGGAGACTTTTGAGTCGAGCAGAATCGCAATCCAACTCTTCGATGGAGAGGTCTGGGAGCGACGATTTGCATGAACATCTTGCTGACAAAGTAAAGGCTGAATGGTATTACCGACAAAGACAAGGGAGACTGGAAGGGCTATTTCTGGCTTATTAGCCGTCGTCAGCCAGCCATACCCAAGCCCGAAGTGTGGAACACCCGAGCCTCGGACTCGCGACCTGTTGGTTTAGAAGTCCACGCCTCTACCCACCGGGCCACGAGCCCGTTCCACACTTCGGAATTGGGTATTTCTGGCTGACGACGGCTAATAAGCCAGAAATGGCCATTCCAGTCTCCCTTGTCTTTGTCGGTAATACCATTCTGCCTATATACCATGCGCCGCTGTGCGGCTGCTGACTGGGTTCGAGAGAGAGTCCTTAAGGCACAACGGAACGAGTGAGTTCCGTATGAACGATCGGTGAGCGCCCCCTACCAAAGTAAAGGCTGATAACCAGGGATATAAGTTCTAGCCCAATGGCTGGATCTGATATGATCAAGCTCTGTTTTTTTTTCTACCTAGTAGGTCCTAGTGGTATGGTCGTGTTGTGAATTTTTTAATTTCCTGTAGTACTGTACGACATTGCAATAATGTGGAAGGATAGAGTCAAAGCGTAGTACTGAGGACAAAGTGCTTAAACGGTTATGGTCTATCCCTGACGGTTCCCAGAAGAGATCAATGCAGCGTACGGCACTTATACTACTAGAACTTCTCAAGGCCCACGGCCTCTCTGGCGAGACGCTTAATCGTGGAAAATAGTCGCAAAAGGTATCCTTCCTTGCTTCACTCGATGGATCCCGTCCTGGTTAACCAACGGGATTAAGTTCATGACTTTAATGAAATACGGTGTAGGAATGTGGTCTTCAGACAAGTAGTCCCGCGTGGCTTTGTGCTATCGTTATTTCTGTTTCCCGTCTTCGTCGGCAATGCACCGATGTGCGGAGGCCACCATTGCCAATGTCTTCGCTGGCGATGTGCTAATATAGACATGAAACCAGTCTCGGAAAGTGATTTGAGTGAAAGTACAGGCGACAGTCATGCCAGATAAAATGTGGAGTACAACAAAGAAGTCAAGTCCCTTGACAACAAAATAGCGACCAGCTGCTTCCATGAAAACACCGACTGAGCCCAGTGGCAACCAACACGATTTACTGAAGGCCAGCTGATGCTCTTCAACTCGACCTGAAAATTTCTGAGTTCAACATACGACCGTTAGCTGATGTCCAGCAATCACACTACTGTTGTGGGAAAAAAGCTAAAGTGGTACGATAAGTCCACCCTAAACTGGCGAACACAGACTGAGTCTACGATCGTTCGACTCATCGCAATATCCGCATAGTCAGGACAAAATTAGCCATAGAGTATGCTACCGCAGCCTGGCTGTCATGGGCATGTGAAATGGCGATTATGAAGCTGGTGGTCTGTCAACGGTATGCTCACCATGTGATTAGGGGTCCGGCTAAGACGACCTCGATAAAGACCATTTTTAGGAGGCAGATTTTCCTTTAGCAGCAGTCCGGACATGCCAGCGGGAGTTCAGTGACCTACAACTATCCCTCTAGCTTGGCGGTACTAATCTCGAGAGAGACGATTGTCCCATTGACAAGAAGGCAGCATGAAACAGATGGGCTGGCATTAAAAAACCGACCTATGCGGCAGTTTTTAACGACCACGTATCGAGGCCATTCCCCAAATTCTGCCCCGCCCCCCCTCCCTCCTCGATTAATACCGATAGCTTCGCCGTAAAGGGAGTTATGTGGCGTGAGCCCACTGCAGCTGCCAACCAGCATGAAGCCCAGGCC